CGAAACGAATATTTGTTTTGCAGAAGAGATGTCTTAGGAATATTTTAAATATGACTCAAAGAGAATCCTGCAAGAATGTTTTCATTTCTAAGAACGTGCTCACATTAATAGGTTTGTATATTTATGAGGCAATCATCTTTGTNTATTAGTAGACAGTTTAACTAAAATCTCCATAGGGAGCAGTTAACTGAATAGTAAGTTTTATTTAATAACACACTCATAATTAGTGCTTCACAAAATTAATAATTTGGTGTTTGATTTGAAGAAAAAATTGTTAGTACTGTTAATTTTCATTTCATAATAGCGACAAAATACTACACATTTTTTTTAGACAAATACTCCACTGAGGCGCTCTGCACAAAAATCTCATATTCTATTGTTGTTTAATAGTTATTTATGCAAAAGTGCAAACAGTAAGTGTTTATTGCACGCGACGTGAATTTGTCCAACGAGGCCGTTAGGCCGAGTTTGACAACACGTAAAGGGGCTTATGATAAATGAAAAAAAAATAAATAAATAAATACGTGAGCAGGGGCGGCGGAGGGTTGATTTGGGAGGTTGAAAAGTTATGAAAAATTGTATCATTGGGATATCTGGCGAAAGTTCTGGCGTCAAACAAAAAAGTATCTAATACAAAAGTTGTAAATCATGCAAAAATATACAACTTTTGTAGAGGACACTTTTTAAGATAACCTCAAAATTTCCGAGAAAAATGCGAAAAACAGGTTTTTTTCTGATTTTTCGTTTTTTATTTCTCATTTCCGCAAAAATAATTTAATTTTGACGAAACTTGGTGAAAGTATACATTTCTCTGTCTTAAATCACCTTAGATAACCTAAATTTTTTTAGATAAAAAAATCAAGAAGTTTCTGAGATATTCATTTTTTTCGGCCTGAAACACTTTTTTTTCAAAGAAAAATTCTACTTAAAAAAATCATCATACAGAGTTCTGCCGGTAATCATTTTTTTCGTTTTGACATATACTTTTTGGCGAAATAAAAAAATCTGTAATCACAGCTCAAAAAACATGCTCAAAAATGCAAAAAAGTAAAAAATGACTTGCAGCATGAATTTTTCAGTAATTGTTGATAATTTGTTTAAATTAAAAAACATTCAAAAACTGATTACACCATTCAATTGTACGGAAAAAATACAAAAAAACTGTCTCATTGTTTGACCCACAACTATTTTTATACAGTATTGCTATAGACTAAGTCGAATAGTAAATAAATAAAATAAATAATATTTTTTTCCGTAGGATCGATTAGTGTACTTATTTCTTTTAATGTTTGATGAATTGATAGATATACAGTGTGTCCAAGATAAGGATGGGATAGCATTAGGATCTAGGAAACGGTAAAAGATACGGGGTGGCTCAGATTAGAAAAAAGTGTTTTTTTTATACCTAAGAATATGCTGTTTAGAAAGTTTAAAAATTCCGGGTAGTTCCGGAGATATCCGGAAAAACCCGAAATTTTGCTAAATTGTTTAATTTTTTCTGGCTTTATTTGAAAACGAATTTTAAAATAAATTACATATTTACAATGCCACTTTTTTCGCTCTATACAATGGCGTCAACATTTTTGCAATCCGACGTTTCGTCTTCGAGGGGCCGTCATCGGGTTAATTTTTTTAAATACGTCGCTGCTCTTTTTATGACAAAATCTAGTCATTTTAAATTTTGAATTAGAGGATATTACTATTGTAATCGCTTAAAAAGTATTTAGCTTGTTTTAGCTATAATTTAAAAAAATTTCTGAGTACGCCTCTGAACGCTTTCAAAATATCTATTGGATGAAGTCATAACAGTATAAGTCAATACCGCACAAAATATCTAACAATTTTTTACTACTGTTAGCAACACTACTTAAAAATAATAAAATATTTCATAAATTCGTATTATTTTTTTATTAGGTACAACTTTTTAAATTATGGATTAAAAAAATTGTTGGATATTTTGGGCTGTATTGACTTTTATTCTCTCCTCTCTCTCTCTCTCTCTCTCTCTCTCTCTCTCTCTCTCTCCCCTAATANATCTATCTATCTATCTATCTATCTATCTATCTATCTATCTAATTTTTGAGCATGATGTATATTGCATCTGAACTAAATAAATCTATCTATCTATCTATCTATCTATCTATCTATCTATCTATCTATCTATCTATCTATCTATCTAGTGTCTAAAAGTACTACTTTTCTTCCTCAAAATATATCGTTTCGAGAAAACGTTTGTTGAAATGAATTAATTTGGTGTATTCGATATTCGGAAATAGGGCAGGTGAAGATATGAAAAGAGAGAAAAATCAAATCACAAACACCGAAACTACCACTTTGTTTTGGTTTTCGGGGTCAGTGATTATGAATCTAGACTCTGAATTACAAAAATCAAAATGGCGGGTCGAATATAGCGGTTGAACAACGATGTTGGAATTTAGAAATTTAGAAATTACAAGTATTCTCTCAAATACCTATTCCTTCTTCTTCACTATTGTAGAACTGACGAATATTCTGCATACATTAATCTTTTAAGGTAACTTCAAATAATGGAGTCCAGCAGATTGAAGTCTAGAGGTTTTCTTTCAGTTCCTTTAAAGTTTGTCCTTCTATCTAAGGTGTAGAAACAGATTTAGGTCTTCCAGAGCCGATATTGCTTTTATCGAATTTTCCTCTCTCCTGGAGACACTTAAGAAGTCTAGCGAATATTCAAGCAGGAAGAACTGGACAAATAGGACAATGAGCTATAAAACTATTACCATCGCCACATCCATACATAAATCATAAAAACAAACGACATACGTTAGTGTACACACATTTATTAAAATAAAAAACTGAAATTTTGTGTTGTCATCAACTTTTGAGGTTATGTACATCCCGTCAATAGGGGTTTTAAATCACATTTCGCAGTATTCTTGAAAACGGTGCGTTTGAAAGTAGTTATTATCTAAATAGACACTATTCGAGGTAATTACGATAGTTTCAGTATAATCAATAATGCAACAAATATACTTTAGCAAAATTTCAGGGTATTTTACCACATAGTTTCTGAGTTACACTTAATATTATGTTTAGCATATGCTTAATGGCGTGCCCTTGAAAAATGTTGTCACAATGCTATAACTAAATAACCCCATTCGAGAAACTGCTCAAATTTTAGGCAAGACTAATTTGTGTGAAATACGTTATATAGAATAATCTGGAAATGATTGACCAGCTAGGATTAAAGATATTAATACTCAAACTTTTAAATTGTATATTCGATTATTTACATAAATGAAAAACCACAACGTCGCACATTGAAGGAAGGTTAGTTTGCTCGCGCGCTGACATTCTACAAAATTTTAAACTAAAACCTTTTTCGTTTCAGTTTGCGTTTTTCCTTTAAAGGAACTAATAAAATAAATCAAACAATAAGGACGATTCTTACACATTTTTTTAAAAACTTACCAAACGATTGTATAGACCGATCAAAATAATTCATTTAGAGGGAAAAAAAAGAAAATTGTTACCTGGACTTTTATAAGTGGAAATGGTAAACGGGCTTATGATAAATGAAAAAAAAATAAATAAATGCGTGAGCAGGGGGGCGGAGGGTTGATTTGGTGGGTTGAAAAGTTATGAAAAATTGTATCATTGGGATTTCTGGCGAAAGTTGACGTCAAACAATAAATAATGACACATTTTTTTGAACGGTGTAATCAGTTTTTGAATGTTTTTTAATTTAAACAAATTATCAACAATAACTGAAAAATTCATTGTTGCAAGTCATTTTTTATTTTTTTGTATTTTTGAGCATGTTTTTGAAATGTTATTACAGATTTTTTTATTTCACCAAAAAGTATATGTCAAAATGAAAAAAATTATTATCGGCAGAACTCTGTACGATGATTTTTTTAAGTAGAATTTTTCTTTGAAAAAAAAGTGTTTCAGGCCGAAAAAATGAATATCTCGGAAACTTCTTGATTTTTTATTTAAAAAAATTTGAGGTTATTTAAGACAGAGAAAGGTGTACTTTCACCAAGTTTCGTCAAAATTAAATTATTTTTGCGGAAATTAGAAATAAAAAACGAAAAATCAGAAAAAAAAACTGTTTTTCGCATTTTTCTCGGAAATTTTAAGGGTTATCTTAAAAAGTAACCCATACAAAAGTTGTAGATTTTTGCATGATTTACAACTTTTGTATTGGATACTTTTTTGTTTAACGTCAACTTTCGCCAGAAATTCCAATGATACAATTTTTCATAACTTTTCAACCTCCCAAATCAACCCTCCGCCGCCCCTGCTCACGCATTTATTTTTTTTAGGTTTATTATAAGCCCTTTTACCATTTCCACTTATAAAAGTCCCGGTAACAAATTTTTTTTTCTCCAAGTGTAATTTGGTTGGAGTATGTAATGCATCCACTATGTTTAACACTAACCTAACATAACCTAACCTTGTAACCCGTAAATATAAGTTCCATTAATCTCTCTCTCCCATACAGCTGCGATCTGTATGACGTTGCCAGTTGTCGAAACTATCTGACTCAAATATGAGACTTGCTCGAAAGTTTTCTACTTGAACTCCGTGCTTGGGATATAACTGCTTTAAATGTATGTTTTTCAACCCAGCTCTTTAACAATGATACTAAATATACTTAATCAATGATACTATTTCTGCAAAGATTTCAGTGGCATTGAAGTTGTAATCCATGAATTATCTCAACTATTAACGCCATATTCAAATCGACTTATCTGGCAATATACCCATGTACCAAATTTTAAGTTAACCCGTTTGGAAGGTTCAACCAAAAACTTTAACACTGTGCCTCGAAAACGAATAATTTTCGACCACATTTTATACCATTTTTTTTATTACTTTTTTTGGATGCCCTCCGCTTTTAAATTTGTTTAGTACTATGTGTAATAAAATAAATATTTGGCAAGAAGAAATGATAATATTACTTTTGATGTCACGTTCTAAATTTTCCATATTTTCTGACAAAATTTCTCTATTTTCAGGTGTACTGTTCCACAGGGCAATCCTAATGTCCGGCTCCGGCTTATCCCCGTGGGCCCTCATTCAAGAGCCGTCCCGATACGCCGCGCAGGTGGCGATCCATGCTAATTGTTCCCCTGAACTTCCACATCCACATTTACTCAAGTGCCTTCGTGAAAAACCCCTTGAACTTCTCCTGTCTACACCAGTTATTGCGCCGGATTTCGCTTTCGCCTTCGGTCCCAGCGTCGACGGGGTCGTCATAGACACCGGGGAGCCCCCAGGTAGGAAATTTTAGCTCAATATGATACATTTCATTGACAGAGAAACATTTGTTTTTTTTATAACGAAAAATACATTGTTTAACTAACACTCCTGTTTGCAAACTTATTTTTATTTCTTCAACACTGAAAGAATTATAACTGATAGACATACAGTAACGTTTCGTCACTGAAGTACTGAAAATAGATAGAAATACACTGGTACAACCAGGAGGTATTAAGAGTTCACGTCCCCCTCCCCGAAGCTTGGAAGTTAGTATTTCTACAAGAACACTGCGTTGTTTATTTATTAGGATATACAACTGTTGATTTTATTCAAAAGGAACATCCCAAAAAAACTTCCACAAAAAAAATTACCGTAGTTTTCACTCTCTAGCCATCAGTTTTGATCAAGATTCGAATTAAATTTAAATATTTTACCCATTTTTTTGAGTTAAAATACTGATTGTAAAATAATTGAATGATTGAATGATTGAATCTAAACTGTTTTATATCGTTACACATCGATAGTCATCGTCAGCAACAGAGAACAATTTCGTATCGTAGGCATAGAGTAAACGATTTCAACATTATCGTTTAAAAAATAAATAAAGGGCAAGAGACCCAAAACGAAACCTTGAAGACTACAAAACGTTACATTAGATTTATTAGGCTTGATGCATTGTTTTTAATAATTTAATTTTTTTATTCCAAGTTGGGCTTTACTGACATTTTAATCTTTTCTTACATTTTTCTTAATTAGATTAAAATATTCCTTTACAGTTTCTAATTCTGCTTCTATTAAGATATTGTTTTACTTTTCTATTTGGTTAGGTAATATTGGTGTTAAAGGGATTAGTCAAAGGGTCGATTTTATAAATTTATTTATCTTAAAATAAATAAAGGGTGTCCCAAAAGTAACGCAGGATTAGAATTGTGCGCCATTTTCATTCCGCATAGTCGGTAGCTCCGGGTAACATCTTGTAGTAAATACGTTGCGGTTAGACAAAATTGAGCGCCATACGACGGATGAGCCAGTGAATACTGTGAAAATTTATTACAAGTACGTAGAGTGTGTAGCTGAGATTGTGCTCAAATTACGTGAAATTTTCGGTAGAAACAACGCACAGTGGTCAAACACTATAAATTCTCGATCTAAACCTATAACTCTTAGAGTAATCGTCCTATCGCAGGGATATTTTAGATTTCAGGGTTTTTTATACCCCCTTTTAGGGGGTTGAAATTCATAAAATTGAAACGACTATTGAAATGGAATGTAATGTATTCTATTTTGATCCAAATAAGACAGTTATATATTATAGCTACCATAATGACTATAAAAACACATTACAGCGAGTAAAACCTTTGGACAAAAACTCAAGACCCTAATTTTTATACTTAACTATATTTTATTTATATTTTAATTATCTATCATAATTACATTAAATTCTACATCGCAGTATAAAAAATAATATTTTTCAATTTTCGTCTTTTTCCTTGCTCTGTTCCTTCTGTTTTTCCTCGTTTTGTTCACTTTCATCAGATTCGTATTCTTTACCTTCTTCAAACACTTCAGACCTCACCACTTTATAATATGGAGGGTAAATATCATGTCCATGTTCCCCCTTTTCTTAATTGCTCATACTACTAATCTCGAGTTAAATTTAATGAGACAATCAAAGCCACAGCTTCTTCAGCAGTGTAACTGGAAACTTCTTGTTTTGAAAATCTCTCCAAGTTTTTAAAATTCTTCCTGCTCTTTTTGGAAACGTTTCCACTGCTTCAGTGAGCAATTTGGCTGCATCTACATTTCCACATTCTCTTAGTTTCATGGAGGTAGCAAATAATAATTTTTCTGTAGATGTTTGTCCTGTGTTTTTCTACGTTTAATAACGACAGAACAATCTTCGAAATCCTTAGTGGGACGACCACCCCTTTCTGATGTAGACGCTATACGAGAATCCTGCAGGCAGCGAACAACAATCTTCGGGAAATTTATTTCTTCATTCAGCCAATTTTCGAATTTACTTAAGAAATGTTCGGTTTTTCGACTTACTTTTCTCCATCTTGCAAAATAAGGCGCAAAGAATGCTGTTTCTGTATATGTGGTAAGGGTTTTCGTTGCATTTTCATCAAAATTTGTGTGGAAATGCTCTTTTAGAAAGTCAAACACACGGTTTTTTCGCACTTCGACTGATTCGCGTGAAAATTCCATCATTATTTGATGTAATTTCAGGCGTGTTATTGGTTCATCAGCCATTGTAATAAAAGATAATAATAAACAAAGAAAAACAGTGCAAATAACAAACACCACAGAACATACAAAAACAGAACGGAAAAGTCACTGGAGCACACTAAATACTGTCCGACACAAAAGCGGGTGAACAACTGAAGTAAATAGGTCATTACGGCCTTATCTGCAAATATCTACAGATAAATTAAGTGTAATTATGTTCCCAGGAATCATGGCATTCATTTGAGAGGTATATGGAAGTGTAGTCTCGTATAGTACTATATGAGATAACGACCTAAATTAGAGAATTTCCCGAAAATTACCTGCTGGCTATAATCAGTTAAAAACCGTTAAGGCTTAATTCAATAATTACCTCAGGTCTATGAAAAGAACGACAAAATACCGTACTTTTAAGCTCTGTATAGTGTAAAAAAATGCCTGAAAGTTGTACAAGCTGTCAAACATTGCGATTTTTTTCAAGAGACAAAACGATATAATAATTGCATAATTTTTAACAGATTTAACCGTTTATAACGTCTAAATCGACGCAATATTTTCTGAAAAATTAGTTCAGTATTAGGGGTATCAACCGTGTAAAGAACCCCGCACAAACATATGGAAATTGAACACAGGTCATTTTTTATGAAACTTCGTATTTTGATAGTCCTCGTCATGCTGATCAAAAGTCTCAATGAGCACGAAGCCCTACAGCCCCTTCCAATCCCCCAAAACCACCCCCAAAGATCAGGGTAATGAACCTAACAGACTACAGGTCAATTGGTTTACCATAGTATTTCACGACTGTAGTCGAACCTACAGACACCTACACCATAACTAGGCTTAAGACTATCAATGGGCACCGAGCCTTACAACCCCCACCAACCACCCAAAAGTCAGGGGGATGCATTTGATAGATTATCGGTCAATAAAACTACCGCAGTCGAACCTATAGCCACCCAAACTGTAACTAGGCTTAAGACCCCTCCCCCATCTCTCTCCCTCCCCACCAACTACCAAAGCCTGTCATGTCACTTTTCCCTGTTTACTGTTTAATCGTGAATTCCATCTCAAAGCCACGTAAACGATTACTACTCTATACTCTCCGATGCTGACCCCCGACAAATGAACCACCTACCCCCAACCCAAATCCCACGGTTGGGGTCGGACCAACTGCAGTTCTTATCGAAGCCTGACATGACTTTTCCCTGCTTACGACTTATGAAACCGTTCAATCTTGAATTCCATCCTACATCCATCTTATTGTTTAATGCCCTTTAACCCACAAAAAGTACCAAAGCCTGCCATAAGATTTTTTGCTGTTTGTGGGATGTGAAACACTTCATTGTTTCCATCCCAAAGTGTGCCCTAACCGATCACTACCGACACCCTTTGACCAATTGACAATTGAACCCCTCACCCCCAATTCTAACCCCGGGGTTGGGAAGGTGGACTAACCCTTCTTCGTTCTGTCTTCGAACCAAAGCCTGTATGAATTATTTCTGTTTACTGGTTCTGCAATTGTTTGATCATGAATTTCATTTCCCAGCTAACTTAACAATCATTACCCAATGCTCTTAACACAAAGCGCAAAAAGTCATATGGAGTGGAGGTGAGAGGGACTTTCAATTTTCGGAGGTAGAAGGGTATTGAGTAGTGAACATTTCGATAGCTGTGGGATGAAATTCACGATCAAATGGTTTTATAACTCGCAAGCAGAAAAAGTCACATCTTGATACGGAATGGGGTTGGTCTACCCCTCCTAACGGTGGGGTTGGGTTTGGTGGTGAGTGGATCATCAATTGTCCCGGGTCGGCATCGGAATGATCGTTTAGGTGGCCGTGAGATGGAATTTACGATCAATCGTTTTCCCAACCAGTAAGCAGGAAAAATCACATTACAGGCTTTGGTAGGGAGAGGGATGGGGGGTTGAGTGTTTCGGGGATTATAGTCTTAAGCCTAGTTATAGTGTAGGTGGCTGTAGATTCGGTTACAGTAGTGAAATATTTCGGTAAGCCAATTAACCTATAATCTGTCAAGTAGATCTCCCTGACTTTTGTGGGTGGTTTTTGGGGGTTGGAAAGGGTTGTAAGGCTTCGTGCTCATTGAGACTTTTGATCAGCAAGGACGAGGACTATCAAAATACGAAGCTTCATAAAAATTGACCGGTGTTCAATTTCCATATGTTTTGTGCGGGGTTCTTTTAGGGTTAAAGAAAAAAGTGAAATTAAGTTTAGATCGGGTTTTAATGATTTTTGATCACTGTGGAACGCCCCGAATGAAAAAAAGGTGAAAAGATTATTTAGTTGCCAAATTTGAACAAACAGGTTTGGTTGCAAACAATAAAAAACATGTCGGCCTCGTACTGACCGTTCAGCCAGTGAATGAAAGTACAACGCAACGGATTTTAACAAAAGATCTGCATCTGCATCGATTCAGGATTTAGCTAACCCAGGAATTGAAACCAGACGACCATTTAATACGCCGGACATTCGTTGACTGAATGTTGTAGAATCAACAAGTGTTGTTAAGAAAATCATTAGCTACGTGACGCATTTATATCTTAGTGAATATATGAACAAGCAAAACTGTCTAATTTGGGGCAGAGACAATCCTCAGAAGATTCAAGAGCGATCACTGTATACCCAAAGAGTGACAGTGTGGTGTGGTCCGTTCTTTTTTGTAATGAATTTGGGACACCCTTTATCTTGCACTGAGAAGTGGATAATTCTTCACGACTACACAGTAATCGCTACAACTTTTTACAAAGTTAATGTTTCGAAAAAACTCCCTG